CCCCGCTCTTCTGAGCAGCTCTCCTCAGCTCTTCTAAGCCCTGCTCTTCTCTCTTCTCTGTCCCAGATGTGTTCCCCCCGTGCTGGGCACGCAGCTCCTTTTATACGCTCCAGGGCTCCGCCCCTGCAGACTTCCGGACCTGACAGTGTCGCGGTCTGTAATCAGGTCCGGGTATGCTCCTCTCCCCCTCCCCTCAGGAAAGGGGTGTGACTTCCCTCCTCGTGCTACCTCCTGATTGGTGGATGGGCTCCTCCAATCAAAACAGCAGGATCTCAAGCCTGGGACTCAACCCAAGCTCTGAAAGGTGAGCCTGCTACATGAACTTTCTGTCTGCCGTCTCAACCACAGCCTTCAAGTCTACACCGCAAATCCAAGCTCTTGGGGACCAGGGCAGAGCAAAGTTAATGCTAAGGGGAGAGGAGCGCTCCCGCTTGCACTCACCAAGCACAGAAATGCAGGGGTGAGACTGGCGCTGGGGCTGCTCTAAAGATCTCTGTGCATCAAGCTTGGGAGCAGTCCTGGCACAGCTTCCCTGCCTCGTTTCCAGCTCAGTCGTTGTGATGTGGAAGGAAAGATTATGTGCAACCAGATGCCCTGAAATGGGCCTGGAGCCGCCCTTCCCAGAGGTGCTGCTACAGACTGGTCAACACGGCAGTGCCTGAACCGTCTGCGCGTGCAAACTGGAAGATCACAAACACTCACGATCAAACGGAGCGACTCTATTGACATGAATACGTGCGAGTGCAGTGAACTGTAGACCATGGAGCGCCTGCTTGGTGAGAGCAGTATGGAAAAGGACCTCACTTCAGCAATGGAAAGAGCCATTGCTTATGCATGATTCTGGAAAAACATCTAGTTCATGACAAAGACCTCAGAAAAAGAAGTGATTGTGAGGGGCATACTCAAGAGCCTCTCATCCCCGCAGTGCTGGGGACCCAGTGTAGACATGCCCCAAGCTGGTGAACCTCTCCTTGGTTTAACAATATCCTGCACATCTTCCACAGCACGTCCTCTAGCTGGCTTGGTGGCAAGGGTTGGTAGCGATGGATGCTGGTTGTCACGGAGCCGCCTCGGAAATTCTGCTTCCTTTGGTTTCTCCTTCGTATTTCTCACTTCCCGTCCCCCCTGCCCCAGCTCATCCTGCTCTACGGCGCTCAGCAGCTTCCTTTCGGCATCTCTGACTTCCATTTTCCAGTTGCTCGATTCATCTGTCCCCTACACCAGGTCGGGCCCTCTGGACGTAAGCCCCAGGACATTTGGAGTGGTCATGCTGGTAGCAATGGGTCTCGTTCTGCTCCTGTCTTGAGCTCAGTGAGGTTGCCTGCGTGTGCGTGAAGCCCAGGCTGTCCCAAGGCACATGTGGAGGGCAGGTCTGGCAGAGACCTGTTATTCTAGGCATTTCAGTGTGGCTCCAGAAAGATGTTTCCATCCCTGGTTGCAGCCCCTCCGGTGGTGCTCACTTCTCCCAGCTTGCTGGCTCTCTCTTCCCTTTCCTCTAGCAAGAGACACTTTCTCACTTAGGTCAATATTGGTATCTCCCTGGCTTGGTTGCTTTTTCCGTTCTGCCCAGGCGCCATGTGCTGCACTGTGTATTCACAGGGCACCAGCCCTTCTGGCTGCCTGGCTTCTTCCCCGCTTTGCTTGGTGCTGTTGGAAACGCTAAGGTCACATTTTCCATGCCATTCCAGAGGCAGCTGCCTCTAGGGCCAGTCACTTCCAGTCCATTCAGTGCTGTTGTCATCCAGCTAAATGTAACACCCTTTAAAAATGGGAGGTCAGGCTAGGGCTGGTCTTTGTACCCGGGAGTGAGCACGTGGAGCCTTTCTGGACAGTCGCCTGAATCGAACTTGGGTGAGCTACCCTCTCAATGGGAGGGGGGCTCCCACTACTGGGGGTGGGGATGTGAGGGTAGTGTCGTGCCACTACTTCCAGTTTGCTGATCTCTGTCAGGAGAGGAGCTTTAATGTTTTCAAGGGTGATTTGTTTCTAAAAAGCACAAGGCAGTTAGAGAGCTCCCCGATGAATGCCTCTTCTGCCCCTACAAAGCTAAGCTGATAATAGTACAAGGAGCAATGGTCTCAAGTTGCAGCAAGGGAAGCTGACGTTAGATATTATAAAAAACTTTCTCATGAGGATCGTAGAAAAGCAGTTGAACAGATTACCCAGAAAGGTGGTGGGATCTCCATCCTTGGAGGTTTTTAAGACCCAGGTAGATAAAGCCTTGGCTGGGGTGATGTAGTTGGGGCTGGTCCTGCTTGGAGCAGGGGGTTGGACGAGATGTGACCTCCTGAGGTCCCTTCCAACTCGATTTCTATGCTTCAGTGACTCTAAGTATGCGTCTCTGAATGGTTAACATGCCTGTCGCATGCGTTTTCGGACTCCCTGTCACGATTGCCTTATGTAGAAGCCAACAGCCTTCTCCTGCTAATGAGGCTCAAATGATAACGGTATGGCCTGTGGTGCAGAATAGCCTGTATTCAAAATGGGTCATTATGCCTGGTGGGTGGGCTATTCATTTTTTCCTCACAGATGTTTCTTTCCCCCTGCTCCTTTCTTCACAGGTTTCTATGGGCAATTAACCATGCTTTTATCCACAAGCCTAGCAAAATGCCCCAAAGCATTGCCATACCACTACCCAATTCATGGCCACAGCTGCAGTATGTCCATGCGTGCATTTGGTGTGCAAATATAGGTGCATTTTACACACACAGTACAGCTTCCTCACTATTATTTCCTCCATTCATATGTGCAGTTTTGCATATGACCCAGTTACAGGCCTCCTTGGAGGGGAACATTTTGTGTTGGGTTGCTGGTGCTGAGGTGGTGTGTGTACATAAGCATGATCATTTCCTCTTCTCCTTGGTATTGCAGCAGCTCCTCTAAAGGTCTCCGCTTTCATCTCGTAATACAGGAAAATGACTCGACCTGCTCCTGCTCCCATGGAGACAGGTGAGAACGGCACCCTTTGCTCCCGTAGGAATGGGACTTTGCCTGTGTGTTTGGATCAAGCTTGCAATTCTGTGCTTGCTCACAGGGAACTGCAGGCAGAGCCCTTTGCATGGGGCTTGCACACCTGTGGCTTGCTTTGACACGCAGGTTTGAATTAATCACCTGGTCCATAACACTGAAACCTGGCAGGGGAGACACCATGATGATTGTGTCGGTCCAGGTGGTTTTACGTACCTGAAAGGGGAGATCCCATTCTTCCCGTTCTTGAATGACTCGGTGTAGATGAGGGTAGAGACCTGTCCACTGCACTGCGGGCAGGCACCTCTGCAGGAGTCTGCAATGTGGGGATGTGGGCTACACAATTTATGGTGATGGGGGTTGGCTCTTGGGCTTTCCCTTTAGCTTGCTTCGTTGGCCTTTTGGCTAGGGGCAAGTGAGACTAGGGGGCATCTGAACGCCAGGGCCTCCAGTCTTGGGGCTTGCATGTAGGATGCCTGCCAGTGCCATGTATTTGGGAGTATCCGAAGCCCCAAGCTGAAGAGTCTGGGCTGTAGGCTACTTGCTGGTGGTAGTGCCATGCAAACTTGAACGATTGAGCTCTGCTCAGTCGGTGGAATTTGGACTTGATTTGGCTAATTTGGCCTGAGACACAAAATTAATAAAAGCAAAAACAAAACAGAACCAACACTGAACCCTGGCCAACCATATTTTGTCTAACCCGCAGGTGAAAGCTGCTTTGTTTTGCATGAAACAACCTTGTTCTGCTGCCCATTTGCAGCCATCACGCAGCCTGGGTTTCCCTAGTACGTCCCAGGTCTCAGGATCTCAGCAAGCCTGGCCTACATTTGAGGCTTGCACTGAAGCCTGGAAGTATGTGAGCATCAGTCCATCGCAGGTGTTGTTGCAAAGGGTTGACCCGTGCAGACAGCTAAACCATCTGCTGGCTGCTCGGACATGCCATCTGGTGGAGGCTCACGCGAATGGTCGAGGGCAGCACCGATTCCTTCTTAGCACTGACCCTTTTCGGCAGGCACGTGCATTGGACTTACAATGACCCATGGGGATATAATCGCCTGGCTTCTCATAGTGGTTCTTTTCATCATTTTTCTTTATAGTACCTCTTCCCTCCGATCCTTCCCCCCCTGCTCCAGGAGAGCAGGGCTTGCAGCTCTCAATCCCGCTCCTTAGTTTAGAAGCTCTATCTTCTAAACAGCTCCACATTTTTAAGGGCAGACACGATCTCACCCTTAAAGTGCCTGCACAGCCCCTAGCACAATCAAGCCTTATTCTTGACTGGAGCCCTTAGGTGCTATTATAATATAACCCCCACCCCGCAAAAAAGTAAAGAAAAGGAACATAGGAGCTGGTAAGGTATATTATTTTAAAACATTGCCTAAGTGGTTTAGAAACCTACATCTCCTTGCAAGTCACTTTTGAAAATGGACTTTAGGGGAACTTACAGCTAGATTCTATTGCATGTATTAGGTGTCTAAGTAGATTTAGGCATCTACGTGCAGTCCTATTCCATTCATGCAAAAGGTGCATGGGTCCTCCTCTTTTCTGCTTTTTTGTTATTTCGTCCCAAGGTTAATGTGATGGCTCAGAACAAAGAAGAGTATTAATATTTCTCGAGCGACTCGAGTAGGGTGGGATGGAAATGCACTGAGATGCTGAAGTACCATGTAGATATCCAATGGGTGAAATAGGATCTGGTTCTTGGGATCTTTTGCAAAATTTCCCCAAGACTTTTTATTCTTACCTTCCTTTTCCCTCTTTACATCCCCAGTGAATGGCCTTCCACTCTAAATCCATCCTCTCCTAACAAATCCCAACCAGGTAGAGTAATACAGCAGTGTCTGATCCAGGAGCATTGCCATGTACACATAAATGCCTACGTATGTGCGTGTATATAGGGGGGTGGGTGGGTGTCCTTGTGCGCACGTTGTACAGTTGTCTAAGCAACCGCACGTCCAACACAAATTCCAGTGATAATTACTCATTTTTCTGTATTTATAGAAAACGGATGCAGCAGTGGGGTGATGTGATCCTTGATGAGGCCAAAACCAGCCACGCTGGTAGGTGCAACAGTGTAATTTGGCCACTTCCCGGAATACAGCAAATCTGTCATTGTCTCTGTCTGCCTCTCGTTAGTGGGTAGCTCATTAAGTCCAGAAGGAAAGGGATGCCAATGGAGTCATTAATGGTCGCAAATCAAAAGCTCCTGCATGCATGAATTCAACACATTGTCCAGCTTTATTTCTGGGTACCAATTCCTTACTGAACACACAATGGTGCCTAGACATTCATTGCCTGATACCTGTAAAACAGGAAGTCCTTATTCTGTTCTTACACATTTCGCCTGTGTGTGGACCAGGTAGAGATGGAGTAAAAGGCTCAAGATTTGGCCCAGGGCGTCCTGCCGCTTTGGAGCAATTTGTATCAGGATCAGATTAATTAATACAGTGCACGACCTCTCTGGCACTGACCACCAAGCTACAATGATAACGTGATGTAGAGAGCACCCATCCCAGTGCAGAGGCACTCTCACAGAATACAATATTTAACCCCAGGTACACTGGATCTGAGGAACCGCGCTCCCCCTTCCCGCACAGTGCTCCAATCAAAGCAACTTTCTTGCCGCTTGCTGAAGCCTGGCTCAGTGCAGCTGAATGACACCGGGTGCAGGAGTCTGTCTCATCATCACAGGAGCAGGGAGACTCTGATTTGAATGGCACTCCTGTTTTGCATAGACAAAGCAGTCTCACGCTGCTCCCATCCACCCTGCTATCTTTCCACATCTTCTCTTTACTGGGAGACAGATCTGCATCAGGAGGCTCTTGGCTAAATGCTGCAGAGGAGCAGGCTGAATTTTTTGGCACTTAGCAGAGGGATAACAAAAAAGGAGCATTTTTCTTTTCCTTAAGGGCATGTATATTCCAGGTGAGCGCCCATCTGATGGACTGAATCAGCACCTCCAATCAACATAGATACTAAGCATCTTTAAATAGCGTGTCTCCGTCTTGGTAATAAGAAGAGGAACAACCCATTTGGTATTTTTTATGGTATTTCTGTAGTTGTTTTCTTGCTTTTTGGCTTTGATTTAAGAATCTGAAAATATTTGCGCTTACTTTGTGAGTGGAGGGGCAGTGAAGAGAAGAGCTTTAAGTAGGCAAGGATTACAGAGCAAATCATGTTAAGGGCAAGGGGGACTGGCAGGTGTAGGTGTATAATAACGTTAAATTAGCTGCAGGCATGTGATATAGCTTAGATCTGTGCTGATTGCCTTATTTCAGTAACATCAGCCAGGGAAAGTGCATTGCTTCTGTGCACGTGAAACTACAAAGAATCCTTGGCTGCTTCCGAGCAACTAGCATCGAGCAGTATTTGTGCCTTGGGGTCCCCCAACTTTGTAAAATCTTTGCCCTTGAAATGTGGTTTATTCACAATAGGTTTCTCTTGTGGAGCAAGAGGCTGTTTCAAGGGCTCACCTGCCAGGTGGCTCTGTGGGCTGGAGAGTTACCTGGGAAAGCATCGTAACTGCATTACTGTGTGAGGCACGTCTTTTCTCTAGATTAAAAAAATAGACATTTAAACATGCGTAGGGACGGTTGTATTTGCTGACGGAAGGGTGACTTCACATTTCACCATCAGGGCTAAGGAAAGCTGTGGGAGTGCATGTGCTTCTTTCTCCACATCTGTGAGTAAGTGTGTGTGTGTGTGTGTGTGTGTGTGACGAGGAGAGGAAAAAAAGAGAACTGTTTTTCCCAATTTTTACATCCTTTACTCACTTGTGTCAGAGCTGTGCAGTGTGTCCGTGTTCCACGAAGCAGCAGCTGAGGTCTGTGGGTTTGTTTGCACTGAAAATGTAAATACAGCCCTGGGGATTGGATTCACAAGAGCTGAGAAAAGGGACATGAATCTTGACAAGAGAGAAGGGGAAAAATCCAGAGCTGGTTGGGGTTGGAAGAACCTTATCCATCTGGTTTGTGTTTTGCAAAACCAGATCCCAAACCAGGAGGGATTCAGTGTGAGACCTTATTCTGTCAAGATGCAAAGTACTCAGGGACGGTGTTTGAGTATCTCTGTACAAGGAGGGATTTGCTTAATTCGTTCTAGTCCTCATCTCTCTATTGCAGACAGGAAAGGGCAAGGTCAGCCTGGGCTGGGTCTTTTAAGCCTTCTCCTTGAGGGGTCTGAAAACCCTGTGCGG